TCCTAAAATCAGGAACAAGGCAAGGATGCCCACTTTGTCTCCACTCATCTTCAATATAGTCCTGGAACCCTTAGCCAGGGCAATAAGGCAAGAAAAAGACATTAAAGGGATCCACATAGGGAAAGAAGTTAAACTATCCCTTTTTGCAGATGACATGATACTATACCTTCACGATCCCAAAAACTCCATCCTCCAACTCTTAGAAATCATAAATCACTTCGGCAAAGTACCAGGATACAAAATCAACCCACAAAAATTAGTCACCTTCCTGTACATTGACAATGTACACTCAGAAAGGGAAATAAAGGGAGCAACCCCATTCACAATAACCTCCCTCAAAATAAAATATTTAGGAATTAACCTAATCAAAGATGTTAAAGAACTATTTAATGAATACTAGAAAAAGTTAAAGAAAGAAATTACAGAAGACCCTAGGAAATGGAAAGACCTCTCATGCTCTTGGATAGGCTTCCTTAATATAGTGAAAATTGCAATACTGCCAAAATTAATACACAAAATCAATGCAATTCTTATAAAAACCCCAAAGATGTACATCTCTGAAATACAGAAAACAGTCCAAAAATTCATATGGAGCAACAAAAGATCTAGAATATCCAAAGGAATTCTAGGTAATAAAGACAACATGGGAGGGATATCCATGCTGAACTTCAGACTCTACTATAGAGCCATAATAATAAAGACAGCATCGTACTGGCACAAAAAAAGACCTGAAGACCAATGGAATAGAATAGAAGATCCAGAAATAAATCCACATGCCTACAGTCAGCTGATATTAGACAAAGGAGCCAAAGACATACAATGGAAGAAACACAGCCTCTTTAACCACTGGTGCTGGGAAAACTGGGAGGCCACATGCAGAAGATTAAAAGTGGACCCCAGCCTATCACCATGCACCAACATCAACTCAAAATGGATTAAAGACCTCAACATCAAAACTGAATCTCTGAAACTACTGCAGGATAGAGTAGGAAAGACACTTGAACTTATAGGCACAGGAAGGAACTTCCTGAACAGAGTCCCAGGGTCACAACAAATTGGAGAGAGACTGGACAAATGGGACTATCTTAAAAGAGAAAGCTTCTGCACAGCTAAAGCTATAACAACCAAGCTAGAAAGACAACCAACTAAGTGGGAAAAATATTTACCAGCAATATATCAGACAAAGCTTATATCCAGCATATACAGGGAACTTAAGAAACTAATCCCTCCCAAACCTAACAAACCAATTACTAAATGGGCAAGGGAACTAAAGAGAGACTTCTCAGATGAAGAGAAAAAAATGGCAAAGAAACACATGAGGAAATGTTCACTCTCCCTGGTTGTGAAGGAAATGCAAATAAAGACAACCCTGAGATACCACCTTACCCAATTAGAATGTCCCACATCTACAAGTCAGCCAACGACAAATGCTGGAGGGGGTGCAGAGAAAGAGGAACCCTATTACACTGCTGGTGGGAATGTACATTTATACAACCACTTTGGAAAGCAGTCTGGAGGTTCCTCAGAAAGCTAAGCATTGATCTCAATTATGACCCAGTCATACCACTTCTAGGCATCTATCCTGAACAACAGGAACCAGTATACAAGGACACATGCACCTCCATGTTTATTGCAGCACTGTTCACAATAGCCAGGATACGAAACAACCCAGATGTCCCACCATAGATGAATGGATCCAAAAATTGTGGTATCTATACACAATGGAATATTATGCAGCCATTAGAAATGACAAAATAATGTCATTTGCAGGGAAATGGATGAAACTAGAAGAAATCATGTTGAGCGAGGTAAGCCAAGTGCAAAGAGACAAACAGTACATGGTCTCGCTGATCACTGGATGTTAAATCCAAATGTTAGGTGATACAACAAAATTAGTAGGACTTTAGAAACAAAGGACTTCCACTCATGTGGTCTAACCACTACTAAATAACCCCATGCTGCTGATCACATGTATGGTACATGTGTGTATACCGGAGGAGAACCAGGAAATGACATAGAACTAGAGGGAATCAGGGCAAAACATATAACAGTGGGACCCATCAGCTGCACTGGACATTGACCAAAATTAACTAAGCAACTCAATGGCAGGCATGGGAGGGAGGAAACAAGTGGGAAAGAGGGAACAGTTGATACTAAGGAAAACAAAACAAATGAACATATCTCCCAATGTGGAAGAAATAACTGTATCGCAAAGCTCATAGAACTCATAAATGTTATAGACCGTGATAGACAATTTGCTCCAGGAAAGTTAGAATGTGTTTGTGACTTTAACTGAGCATCACTATCCCACAATACTGTAAAATTTGGGAAATTATGTACCCACTTAATCACAATAAAAAATTTGAAAAAAAATTGTGTTGTAACACTTCGTGAATAACATAAAATGAACTATAGCATTTCCATGTAATTGTTTGCTTTGCTCTGTCTATACAATTGTTAAAGACTTATATGCCATAAAATGTCAGCTTCTTGATTTGCTAGAGCTTTTCTTTTTACATAGTTAAGTAAGATTTATTTAGTTTCTCACTTAAGATGGCAAAGGGACTCCTTTTTCTAAGGAAAAGTGTACTGATAACAAAAATGATCTCAGAAAAGTCCCCTTTCCACTCACTGTGTATCCTCACTTCATGTTTCTCCCAATATCAATCTCAGCTTCCTTTTTTTCTATGTTACTGGGGATTGAACCCAAGGTCTTGTGCATGTTTTTCTGGCATATGTAAAGGATCCTTGAAAAATAAAACTTCACAACCTTCAAATCTGAAGACCAGAAACTGAAAGCATTTCAGTCTCCAAAATTTGCATGAAGACACAAAAGGGCGGTAATAACTTCAGAACTTTAGAAAAAGACATTTGCATTTCCAAAATATATTTGATTCAGGTATGTTATCTATTAGCTAACAATAACCATGTAGAGTGGGAAAAAATTAATTCTAAAATGCTATAATATTTTTGCTACCTATATAGTAAATACTAATAGCCATTTTACTAATCCTTGTGTCTAGAAATTATTATATGCTAGTAAACTATTTCCATTCATTTAAAATCATCTTTTTACCTTGCTTCTTTTTGGCTATGAAACTAGGAATTTATTGTTTTCAGAAGAATGAAATAACATTTTATTCATGAATGACTTTTTTCCTTATAAATTACATTCTCTGATTTTTCTTGTCATCTTGCTTCAAGGAAATCCACGTGTTCAGTATGCTTGCTCACAGTTTGGCCCATACCACATGGTTGTTTAGTCCAAATATCGGAGCAGCAAACTGAGCTGAACTTTCTGGAGATTGTATGGTTGAGCGGCCAAGTCCAGTAGGCAGTCGAAGAGATGAGCACACCTTCTGAGCTCGAGTCTGTTGTGAGGGGAGGACAGCTGATGACAGGATATGTAGTGTTTTCAGACATTACTGGGCCCAAGCCATTGCTTCTGCCTGCCACAGCCACAAACACAGTAGGAATGCCATCTCCTTCATACTCTGCCTTAATCCTCAGAGTTTCTTCTGGTCCTTTATGAGCAGATGTTACCCGAAGTTCACATGGAATTCCAAAATTTCCACAAGCTTTTTAAAATTTTCTCACAATGACTGAGATCAGAAATTGAACCCATCAATACTACAACTCTGCACTGATTGTCCGATTTCAGGAGTAACTCTACTCTGCAACCCATTCAAAATTTGCCTTTACCATCTGAAGCCCTTCAGGAGTTACTAGTTTGAGATCACAATAAGACTGTTTGTCTTTCTGCTGGCTCCAATCTCCTGATGGCCAGAGTCTCCAGGAGTCATTATCAATAACGTCAGCCAGAACAATCTTTTTAGTGGTTATATCAACATGAAATTCAATCTTCATATCAACCAGTGTACAGTTCTGGGTCAACCACGATTTCTCCAGTATTTCAAAAATAGCTTGTGTAGCATGACTCATGATATCCACTTCAGTCTGGCCTGTAACAAGTCCAGCAAGGCAAAACGTTGCTGCTATTAGCTTTTTCTCAGACCACTGCGGATCATTGTTGGCATCATCCTTGAAAAACATCTCCACTTTTGGAGGGTAAAACTTATATTCTTCCTTGACACCAGGATTTCTTTGAGAAAGGAGCCAGTTTGCTGTTCTCCTGCACACCCACTCAATTGGAATCACTGCACACTGAGGTGCAACAAACGCTGTCTCCGATGTTTTCCAGGGAAAACAGTTTTAATACCTGCTTCCTGTAACAACTAAAAAATACAACTGGTAATTTTATTGGAGATTATAGCTTTTCCTTCCCAATAATTCTTTATAGCTGCATTTCCTACTGTAATCTGGTCCTTGGATTGCAGGAGAACTTTTCCTGGGTTATTTACCAATTCATAGACTTCTTTTGTTTTCCTCTCATAAAGTTTTTTACCAATGGTGAGCAACTCAACCGTCTCCATTGTCCTGAGCGGGCTGGAGTCTCTGGGCAGAATCGCCAGGATCTGTAAAAGAGCGGTTTTACAGTCAGAGAGGTTTAAGAATGCTGAAGGGAAGTGCTGGCTACTGACACGCCTCGGGCCTGGCTCAGTAGACTCGCATGGCTCCACATGCGCTCTGGTACCAGGGCTGCACGCGGAGGGTCTCCGGTGACGCTACCACAGAGAGGGAGTACTTCCCAGGGGAGTTCTGACAGAGCTTTTAGCAAAGTTTTAGAAATAGTAGACACATTCACTTCAATAATAATGCATGATAGTTTAGTATGATGATACAGAAACATGAGCATCAAATATTTTTCCTACTCAGAGTCTTTTCAAGTTCATATTTGTTTAAACACTAATAAACATGCTTGCTTCTTCCAGAAATGTGTTTGTACATTGTTTTGATTCGCTTTCAAATGGCATGCATCCAACCATCTGAAAAATGGACATCAAAAGGCTTCATTATTATTTACATATTTTTCTGTAATAAAATAGTATGAGTGCAATCAGGAATTCTGGAAACAAAGATATAAACCAACATTACAACGACTATACATTGTATGTCATAAAACACAGATTTAAGGTGGGCACAACATTGACAAAGCATCGGTTGTACTGCATCCACCTCTTGGCCCAGCCAGTCTTCTTCTTCTCCTGTTTGGCCACCTTGGGAGTCTGACCTCTCACTTTTCCACCACGGGCCAAGGATCCATGGACTTTATCTCCAAGCAGGCCGTCGACTATCTGTAGGGTAGCCAGGGCCTCCACCCCACACTGGCCGAGAGTAGCGTCATCCCCCAGTGGCGTGCCTGCCAGGAGCAGGACCTGATCTTCCAGGACGATATCCCCAAGGGAGGCCACATGAGCCTTGATCTGAGCGATCGTCTCCTGGCAGGTCACCTCAAGGGTGTAGAGCTCCTGGGCGCCGACAGACAACTGCATATTGGCAACAGAACCCCGGGACCAGCAGCCACTACCGTGAAGATGGAGTCAAGAAAGACATAACATAATAAAATGTTCACTGATAATATATGACAAATACATAGTATACATATAAGTAAATATCCAAAATATAATTGTCATTTCATAATATTACATGAATAATATGTATATGTGGATGGCAGTCTTAGGACAATTATACAAGGGAAAGCAAATTTTGCCATCCTCTACATTGAAGTCACACTTAAATTGACTTTTACATGTTTTAGTTACTATTTATTTTTTTGTTTTGAAACACATATAAGTTCAGATATTTGGAGTAACAATGATTAAAATTCCTTATGAAAATAAGCAATTATGGTTTTAATATCCTACTTAAGTAATGAAATTTCAGCTTATAAAATGCCATCGAGCCATGATTAGTTGTATGATCTGGAACTCACAAAACTCAGGGATGTTAGGAGCACCCAAGCCAACTCTTTTGAAAATCACCACTCCGAAAACCCACCTGCTGACCAGGCAGGATGTCCTCAGTGTGTGTTAAGCTGTTTTTTAGCAGTCAGGATGAGCATCAGGAGCATTGCAAGAGAGAGGCAAAGAGTCTCTGAAACATTAATACCGGATAGTTTGTGAGAGTTAGTAAGCTTAAACTATTTAGTTTAGATCAACATTATCAGAAAGATATGCTGTTAGCCAAATATCAAAGGTAATACTAAACAAAAAACTCACAGGGTCATAAAGTTAGAAATATGCAGGAAAAATATAATGAGTCAGTATATCAGCTACACCAGTTTCCATAACAAAATACCATGAATTAGGTAGCCTCAAAATAGAAAATTATAAGACAGAAACTGGTCGCTCATGCCTATAATACTAGATCAATAGTAATCTGAAATCTGAGGAATAAGGTTCAGGCCAGTGAGGAAAGTTTGTTTATTCTTATCTCCAATTAACCACTGAAAAACTGGGAAGTAAAGTTGGGGCTCAACAACTAGAGTTTTAGCATTGAACACAAAAGGCTCAGATACAATGCCTATGCCTTGAGTTCAGGCCTAAGGAGTGCCAGAAAAAGAAAAAGAGTAGAATATTATTTTCTCACAGTTGCGGAAGCTAGAAGCCCAATTTCAAGATAACACCAGTATTTGAACCTAAAGAAGAGGATAAATCTGTTTTATTTAGTTTGACAATTTTTATATTAATCATCCAAAAGGACCCTCATGGGAACATTCAGAATAAACCTTAAAAATATGGTCTCTAAGATATCTATGCCAATCAGGTTGAACTATTAAATGAACCATCAAAGTCCATTTGCTTAAAAATACATAAGAATTTCAAGATGTAAAAATCAGAGCATTAAATGAAACATAAGCCCTTTATGTGACTGCACAGATTAAATGCTAATGGAAACATCATTGCTTGATTTATCTAAATGTGCATTTAAAATGCTATTGGCAAGTTCTATTGAATACATTAAAATATGCCATGAATCACTTTGATTTATATATTTTTCTTTTTTTCTTTTTATTTTTTGTGAACATACTGAACAGAGGGGATAAAATTACATGGGCAAGATAATGAGTACATTTCTTATCAAGCATTGCAGCCTCCTCCTTTGGTTACCCTTAACATCCCTTCCAAGCCTCCCCTAGCCCCTCCCACCCAATCCTCCCCCCCCCCATCCACCCCCCCACCAAAGTTGTAAAGTTCATTTTGGACATGACAACTTGTACTTCTCATTGTTGCAACAGGTCCACCTGTATCCTTAAACAACTTGTTTGTCCCTATCTCCTCCACAAATTATACCGACATCGAATATAGTGAAAGCAGGGGTTATACTGTGGGGGAGGGACATACAAAGCAACAAAGCAACAAAGAAATAATCGTTTTTTCTATTTTTTATTTTTTATTTTTTTTATTGTGAAAATACTGTACAGAGGGGTTGCAATTTCATGGGCAAGATAGTGAGTACATTTCTTATCAAGCATTGTAGCCTCCTCCTTTGTTGACCTTTCCAATCCTTTACCACCCTCCCTTCCCCCGCACCGATTCCTCCCCACCCCCAAGTTGTAAAGTTCGTTTTGGACATGACAACTTGTACTTTTCATTGTTGCAACAGGTTCACCTGTATCCTTATTTAAACGATTTGTTTTCCCCTTCCCCTCCACAAATTATACCGACATCAAAAACTGTGACAGCAGGGGTTATACTGTGGGGGAGGGACATACAAAGCAACAAAGAAATAATCTTATAAATGCGTCAGAAACAAATGCATGAAAGAAAGAAAAACATTTAAAATACATATCTTAGGGTTCATTTTCCTAACATCATCTTATCTGACCTTTTCTGCTTGACTCATATATACTAGATATTGCAAATAAGGGAAATCATGGGACCTATGTTTCTTTGGGCTTGGCTTACTTCAGTTAATATAATTTTTTCAAAGTCTTTACATTTTCTAACAAATGGGGCAATGTCATTCTTTCTAATGGAGGCATAGAATTCCATTGTGTATATATACCACATTTTTTTGTCCATTCATCTACTGAGGGGCATCTGGGTTGGTTCCATATCTTAGCTATGGTAAATAATGCTGCAATCAACATAGTTGTCCTGGTAGCTTTAGTGTGGTCTTGTTTGTAAACATTTGGGTAAATACCCAAAAGTGGGATTGCTGGTCATAGTGGAGCTCTATGTGGAGTCTTTTGAGGAACCTCCATACTACTTTCCAAAGTGGTTGAACAAGTTTACACTCCCACCAACAATGCAGTAAGGTTCCCTTCTGTCCACATCCCCTCCAGCATCTGTTGTTATTAGAGTTCTTGATTGCAGCCATTCTAATTGGGGTGAGGTGGTATCTCAATGTTGTTTTGATTTGCATTTCTTTTATGGCTAGGGAGGTTGAGCATTTCTTCATGTGTCTATTGGCCATCCTTCTTTCCTCTTCAGAGAAGTTTCTCTTTAAGTCTTTAGCCCACTTATTTATTGGGCAGTTGTTTCTTTGAGGATTTGTTGTTGGGGGATTTAATTTTTTGAGTTCCATGTATATTTTAGATATGAGACCCTTGTCCGTTGTATGGCTAGTGAAGATCTTCTCCCAATCCGTGGGCTTTCTATTGATCTTGCTAGCTATGTCCTTTGCCATGCAGAAGCTCTACAACTTCATGCAATCCCATTTGTCCAACCTTTCTTTGATTTGTTGTGTTTCCAGGTCTATATTAAGAAAATTTCGGCCTGTGCCAAGGAGACCTAGGGTTTCTACTATTCCATCCTGTAATGTTTTCCGTGTGTCTGCTTTGTCTCCGAGGTCTTTGATCTATTTGGAGTTGATTCTGGTGCAGGGTGATATACAAGGATCTAGCTTTAGTTTTCTACAAGTAGTTAACCAATTTTGGCAGCACCATTTACTGAAAAGGCTGTCTTTCTTCCATTCTATTTCTTTAGCTCCCTTATCAAAGATTTGATGGCTATAGGTCTGTAGGTTCATTTCTGGGTTTTCAATTCTATTCCACTGGTCCTGAGGTCTGTTCTTGTGCCAGTACCAAGCTGTTTTAATTTCTATGGCTTTATAGTAGATTTTGAAAATTGGTATTGATATTCCTCCAGCAGTGTTCTTTCCATTGAGGAGCATTTTTGCTATTCAGGGTCTTTTATTGTTCCATCTGAACTTTTGGATTGCCTCTTCTATTTCCTGGAAGAATGAGGTTGGAATTTTGATAGGCATCGCATTGCATTTGTAGATAGCCTTGGGAAGTATTGCCATTTTCACGATGTTAATCTTTCCAATCCAGGAGCATGGGAGTTTTTCCCATTTTCTAAGTTCTGTTTTGATTTCGTTTTTCAAGTTTTTAAAGTTTTCATTATAGAGTTCCTTCACTTCTTTGGTTAAGTTAATACCTAAATATTTTATTTTTTTGTGGGGGTATTACAAATGGAGTTGCTTTCCTAATTTCAGTCCCTCTTTTCTCATTGTTGGCATACAGAAAAGCCATTGATTTTTGAGGGTTAATTTTATACCCTGCTACTTTGCCAAAGTTTTGAATCAGCTTGAGTAATTTGGGAGTGGAGTCTATTGGATTCTTTAAATACAAGATCATGTCATCTGCAAAGAGGGAGAGTTTTATTTCTTCTTTCCCTATTTGGATCCTCTTTACGTCTGCATCTTGTCTTATTGCTGTAGCTAGGCATTCTAATACTAGGTTGAAGAGAAGTGGAGAGAATGGACATCCTTTTCTTATTCCTGATTTAAGAGGAAATGGGTTTAGTTTTTCACCATTAAGTATAATGCTGGCTGTAGATTTGTCATATACAGCCTTTACTGTATTGAGGAATGTTCCATGTATTCCTAATTTTTCCAAGACCTTCATCATAAAGGGGTGTTGGATCATGTTGAATGCTTTTTCTGCATCTATTGAGATAACCATGTGGTTCTTATCCTTGCTCCTGTTGATGTGATGAATAATATTAATTAATTTGTGTATATTGAACCAGCTTTACATTCCTGAATTGAATACTGTTTGATCATGGTGTATGATTTTTTGGATGAATTGTTGAAGTCCATTGGCCAAAATTTTCCTTAGAAGTTTTACATCAATGTTCATCAGAGAAATGGTCCTATAGTTCTCTTTCTTTGATGAGTCCCTGCCTGGTTTTGGGATGAAGGTTATGATGGCATCATAGAATGTGTTCGGTAGTGAACTTTCTCTTTCAATTTCATTGAAGAGTTGGAGGAGTATTGGTGTGAGCTCTGCTTTGAAGGCCTTGTAGAATTCCACTGTAAAACCCTCTGATCCTGGACTTTTCTTAGCTGGGAGGTCTCTTATTGCTGTTTCTATTTCGATGCCTGATATAGGCCTGTTAAGATGGTTTAACTTATCTTGGTTTAGTTTTGGCATGTCAATATTTGCTAGGAAAAGGTCCATTTCTGCCAAGTTCTCAAGCTTATTAGTATAATGTTTTGAGAAGTATTCCCTTAAAATGTTCTGAATCTTGGTTGTTTCCGTGGTGATATTTACATTCTCAACTCTGAGTTTATTAATTTGGGTGTGTTCTCTTCTT